GAAGAACAGAGAGGAAAAGAGAAAAAACCCCAGAGCATCAGTGAGCTCTAGGAAAATAGCAAAAAGTATATAATACATGTGTAATTAGACTTCCAGAAGGAGTAGAAACAGAGGAAGAGAGGTAGATTGTGATTATTGGAAAGTCAACTGTGATAATATTATCTGAAGATAGTAAATGTAGATTGTAAATCCCTAGAGCACCACTAAAAAATGAAGAGGCATGGCTACAAATAGCAATATTGTAGATTTAAACCCAAACTTACTGGTAGTTACATTAAATGGTTGAAACGCTAATTAGAAGGCAGAGATATTGAGATCTGATATAAAAGTACGACCCAGCTATATGCTGTGTGTTTGGAAAATATGTCCACATCCAAATTCCCAGAACCTGTGAATATGTCAGGTTACATGGCAAAGAGGAATTAAGGTTGCTAATTAGTTGACCTTAAAATAGGGAAATTATCCTGGATTATCTAGGTAGGCCCATTGTAAACCCAAGAGTCCTTAAAAGTAGAAGAAAGAGGCAGAAGTCAGAGTCAGAGGGAGATGTAGCTATGGAAGAACTATCAAAAAGATGTGACATTGCTGGCTTTGAATATGGAAGAAGGAGACCAAGAGCCAAGGAACGTAGGTGGTCTCTAGAAGCTAGAAAGGCAAGGAAATGAATTAGTTTCTAGACCCCTTAGAAAGGAATGCAGTCCTGCTAACACCTTGGTTTTGGCTCAGTAAGACCTATGTCAGATTTTTGACCTACAAAACCATAAGACAAGGCTGGGTGCGGTGGCTCAAGCCTGTAATCCCAGCACTTTGGGAGGCTAAGGTGGGAGTATTGCCTAAGCCCAGGAGTTTGAGACCAGCCTGGGCAACATAGTGAGACCCTGTCTCTACAAAAAATTTAAAAAATTAGCTGGGTGTGGTGGTGTGCGCTTATAGTCCTAGCTACTCTGGAGGCTGAGGCAGGAGGATTACTTGAGCCCAGGAGTTTCAGGCTTCAGGGAGCTATGATCCCACAACTGCCCTCCTGGGCAACAGAGTGAGACCTGTCTCTAAAAAACAAAACAAAAACAAAAAAGTATAATAAATTGTGTTGTTTTAAGGACTCAAGTTTGTGGTAATTTGTTATAGTAGCAAAAGAAAATACATGCTGTCTACAAGAAACCAACTTTAAATACAAAGAAACTTTTTTAAAAGTGAAAGGTTGCAAAAAGAGGCTAACACTAACCAAAAGAAAGCTGGAGAAGTTAATTATATTATACAAAGTAGATTTCAGAGGAAATATATTACCAGAAATAAAGAGGTCATTTCATCATGACAAAGAGGTTAATTCATCAAGGGACATAATAATCCTAAATATAAATAACAGAACTTTAAGATACTTGATACAAAAACTGATAGAACTGAAAGGAGACATAGTACAAATCTATTATTATAGCTAGAGACTTCAGCACTTCTCTTTTGCTAATTCATAGAACATGTAGACAACAACCAACCAACCAGTAAGATTACAGAAGATCTGAACATTATCAACTAGACCTGACACTTATACAACACTCCTCTCAACAATGAAATACACATTTATTTCAAGTCCCCAAGGAGCATTCACCATATATTGGACCATAAAAAAAAGTCTCAATAAATTTAAGGTATAAAAATCATTGAGTATATTCTATGACACAATGGAATAAAACTGGAGTCAATCAAAGAAAAATATCATAAATATCTCCAAATATTTGGAAATTAAGCAATGTGCTTCTAGGTAACAATCCATTGCTTAAAGAAATCAGCAGGGCAATTAGAAAATATTTTTGAACTGAATAAAATAAAAACAAAATATATCAAAATTTGTGAGGTGTAGCAACAGGAGTGCTTAAATTAAAGCATGAAAGGTATATATTAGAAAAGAAGGCCTAAAATCAATGATCTAAGCTTCTATCTTGAAAAAAGAAGAACTAGAAAAGAAAAAGCAAAGAAGGAAAAAATAATAAAGAACAACTTCTGGAGAATAAAAATATAATGTGAAATAAAAAACAAAAATAATAGAGAGAAAATCATTGAAAACTAAAAAACTGGTTCTTTGCAATAAAATCAATAAACCTATAGCCAGAATAATCAAGACAAAAAGAGAGAAGACATAAATTGTCAATACTAAGAATGATGGAAGGGACATCACTACAGTTCCTACAGAAATAAAATTGGATAGAAAGGGGATATTGTAAACAATTTTATGTCAATAATATTATATGAACTTTACATGAAAAGAACAAATTCTTTTAATGGAACAAACTATCAAATACCACTCAAGATAACTGGAATAGCTACATCTATAAAAAAATATAACTTGTGGTTAAAAACCTTCCACACAAAGAAAACTCTAGGCTGGATGGTTTCACTGGGGAATTCTATCAAACATTTAAGGAAGACTAACAACAACTCCACGTAAGTTTTTTGAGAAAACAAGAAAGGATGAAACATCCTCAGGCACTAGACTGAGACTAAAACAAGACAAAGCTACAAGAAAAGAGAATTATATAAGAACTAAAGAACATATCAATATCTGTTATAAACACAGAAGCAAAAATCTGTATCAAAATTTTGACAAACCAAATCCAGTGATATATAAGGGCAATGCATAATAACCAAGTGTGGAATGCAAGTTTGGTTTAATATTTGAATATTATTCAATGTGATGATTAACATTAACATAATCCATTAATAGAGCAAAAAAGAAAAACCATATATGATCGTATCAGTGGATGCAGAAAAAGCATTTGATAAAATTTAACATCTATTCATGATAATACTCTCAGAAAACTATAAATAGAAAGAAATTTCCTCAACAGGATAAAAAGCATCTATGAAAAACATAACATTATACTGAATGGTGTGAGACTGAATACTTTCCCCCTAATATTGGAGATAAGGAAAAAATGTTTGTTACTATCACTTTGATTCAACATTTTATGGTAGGTTCTAGCCAGTGTGATAAGGCAAGAAAAATAGCCATCTGGATGGAAAAGGAAGCAGTAAAACTGCCTTTATTTGGAGATATATCTACATAGAAAATCTTCAGAAAACTACAAAAAGCTACGAGAATAAACGAGTTTAGCAAGGTTTCAGGATACAAAGTCAGTATATAAAAAAAATCAATTGCAATTCTATATGGTAGCAAAGAAAAATAGGAAACTGAAGTTTAATACCACTTACAATAGCATAAGAAACAAAATATTTACTTACAAATATAACAAATATATATAAGATCCATAAATTCAAAACTATAAAAATGCTGCTTAGAAATGGTAATATCTACATAAATGGAGACAGATTCCATTTTCAGGAATTGAAATATTGTTAATATGTCAATTATCCCCAAATTGAGCTATAGATTCAATGCAATCCTAATAAAAATTCCCATAGTTTTTTTTAACAAGAGAAACTGACAAGTTAATTCTAAGATTTATATAAAAAGACAATGGACCCAGAACAGCCAAAACAATTTTAAAAGAAAACAACAAAATTAGGCTATACTACCTGATTTTAAGACTTATTATAAAATTTGGACAGTATAGTATTGGCACAAGGTACGCAATAAGTAAAGGATATTCTTCAACAAAAGGTACTGTAACAATTGAATATCCATGTTACAAAAAGAATCCCAGCTTTCTCCTCATACCATATACAAAATTAGACTGAAATGAATCATAGACCTAAACATAAGGGCTAAAACTACTAGAAAACATAGGAGAAATTGTTATGGCCATGGATTAAGCAAGGATTTCTTAGACAAGGACTCAAAAAATATAAACCATAAAAAAACAGTAAATTGAACTTCCTCAAAATTAAAAACTTTTGCTCTTCAGAAGATATTGTTAGGAAAATACAAATACAAGTCACAGGCTGGAAAAATATTTGTAAAACATGTGATAAAGGATTAATATCCAGAATATATAACAACTCATAACTCAGTGACAAAATAAAAAACTCAAAGTTTAAAAAAAATGAGTAAAAGAGTTGAACACTTCACCAAGAAGATACATGAATGGCAAATAAGCATGAAAATATGCTCAAATCATTATTCATTAGTGAAATGCAAATTAAAACCACAATGAGATTCTACTTCACACCCACTAGGATGACTAAGGTTAAAAGGACTGATAATAGCAGGTGTTGGTGAGTATACAGAGCAACTGAAACCCTCATACATTGTTGGTGGGAGCAAAATGGTATAGTCACTTTGTAAAACTGTTTGTCAGTTTCTTATAATGTTAAAAATACACTGAGAATATAACCCAGAAATCCCACTCCTAGGTATTTACCCAAGAGAAATAAAAAAGATTTATCAATCTAAAGACTTGTATATGAATGTTCATAATGGCTATATTCAAAACGGCCAAATAATGGAAAAAACCAAGTGTCCACCAGCTGCTGCATGAGTAAACAAACTGTAGTAATCCATGCAATGGAATAATACTCAGCCATAGAAAGGAATAAACTAAATGATTCTTAAAACAACATGGATGAATCTCAAAGTCATTATGGCTAAATGAAATAAGCCAGACAAGTAATTCCATATTACATGATTTCACTTACATGTAATTCTGGATAAGGCAAACTACAGTGAGAAAAAGCAGAAAGTGGTTCCCTTGGCTAGAATAGGGAATAAGAGAGTCTTTTGTGGTGATGAAAATATTCTGTATATTGGTTGTGGTGGTTCATGATTGTATACATGTACACATTTGTCAGGACTCATTGAACTGGTCACTTAACATCAGTAAATTTTATTATATATAAATTATATCTCAATAAAGCCAATTAAAAATAACTGTATATCAAAATATGAAAGATATACTTTTTCACTTATAAGTAGCAGTTAAAAAATACTCTTTCAGTTTGGGTTCATATCTTTTCCCCCTTTGTAGGATGACAGTCTCAATAAGAGACATACATTAAGAGATCATAAATCAAGTTTTTCCTCTGGAAACAATGTCCTTCATGATCCTTACCAAGAGTAGTGAGTCCCTCTGAGATAGATGTGAGAACATATAGGAGTACAGGAGGCTCTAAGTTGGTGATGAAACTCATGTGGTCCTGGGTGAGACATTCCAGGAGTGGATAATAAGACTGGCTCAGTTTCCGGTATTGCTACAACACAGAGATACACTAAATGTCAACCCACAGGGAAGAAAAAGACATGTTACAGGCCAGTGGAAATTGCCATTTATAATACTGGAAATTGTAAACTTACTTAAACACAAGGTCAATAAATACATAGAACAAACGACATAATGAGTCCCAATCCAGTATTTAAAGGGGTTCTAATAGGAATCTCTTGATCTCTAGAAACCCTAATTTGAAGCTATAGCATAGTACGTTATTTCAATTTTACTTTATATGGCTAGCACTTAAATGCAAGTAAAATCCCTGCAGTATGACATTTAGAAGACTGTGTGAATTATTTTTCTGGACTGGAATATCGTAATACTGAACAGTGCTTAATGGTGGCTAGGCAACCTTTTTTTTGGTTTGTTTTTTAAACACAAAGAAATTTGCTATTATAATAGGATTTGACATCATAGTATTCATACCATGCCATTGTATTTATACAATGCCAACCTAGCTAACTAAATCATAATTTGGTAAAGGGCTTAGCATATACTATAGGCAAAAGATAAGTGCATGAGAAAGATACCTAGAAAATCTCAAATTCAATCCAATCAATATCAAGAAGGACAACACTCATAAGATAAACCAGAGGAGTATTGATAAAAGTGAGGTTATGACCACCTCCATAAGAATCACTTGGGGTGCTTGCTAAAAATACAGTTTCCTGATACCCACTTCAGATTCACTCAGTGAAAAGCTCTAGAGTGAAGCTCTGAAATACACACTTTTAATATACATGCTAACAGAGTCCTATGCACCCTCAAGTTTGAGAATTATTGAACTGGAGGTTTGCTTGACTATTACGCAAAAGGTGAGGGAACAATTCCTAAAACCATACCAGTTTTTTAGGTAGACTTTAACTGTAGTGAGGAGTCTCCTCAATGAGGTGATTGTAACATGTGGCTGATTTCACCCAATTTTCTATTTATACTTTCTATCAAACAGGCATAGCCTTCAACGAGCATTCTATTCTACTACGAAGAGGCTTCACAACTTTGGCTTGAGATATGGCCCAATTAAGATTAGTTTAGAAAGGTAGAAGAGGGTGCACTAGTCCATTAGAAGGTCAAGGAGCATTTCTCACACAGGCTGACTAACAAAGGCTTACTTGTTAATCTTACTTGTAATCTTGGGTGGGAGCAGGTGGGAAAGGCTGAACTAAGCCTGACCATGAATCTGGGTATGTTACCCAATTAATTACTGCAACCATGTTGGGCACATATTGGCTTGTGTGTAATCAGGCAGAGATGTTTAAAAAAAAGTCTGATAATGACACAGGTCAGTGGAGGAGCCTGGAAATTTGAATTTCCAACAAGCAACTCAGGTGTTTCTGATGGGCATCAAAGTCTGAAGATTACCGACATAAATCATAGAAACTAGATGGTAGAGCAGAAAAGGGACCTAGAGATCACTTAGTTTAATCCAGTCATTTTAAAAGTGAGGAAATTAAAGCCTGGAGAAATACGGGTGATTAGTGAGAGACATAGCTGAGACTATATGCCAGGTTGCTCGACCTGCAGTTCAGCACTCTGTCCACCACACCAGAATTTTAATGGATAGGAAGGCCAAACAGCAGGGGAAGTAGAAAGAGTAGAATAAAAGGAAGTGGAAAATCCTGCAGCCAATGCTGTATTTTCTGCTCCATGAAACACAGACTGTTTTTTAATTATGAGTATAGTTGTAAGCAATTAGTTGAAATTGCTAATTATATTTTCTCTGTATGTAGAATCTGAAGCACTCTGGATGACCAATTTGTCAGAAGGTGGTAGCTGCACATTTCTAAACTGCACATTTAATTATATAAATACTGACAGTATAGCTGTCCAAATTCTGTAAGTTAGAACAAGTAGGCTGCCTTAAAACATAAAATGTTCTGGTGCTATTCTAACTCCCTGGGCTTTATTATAATAATTCCAGGCCTGTGGTGGTGTTACTTCACATTTCACACAAAGACTCCCATGATGCATGATTGCTTACTAGCAAGTCACTGTGGGACACTGACAGCAGCATTTTGACAAAGGCCTGGAGTACATTGTCAAAATGGTTGTCCCCATACAATTTGAAGACGCCAAAGCTGACATAATTTCCACACAAGGCAGATTTGAGAGCTGAATAGCAGATGGAGATGCCCTTGAGTTTCATTGGATAAATCTGATCTTTTGAGAGGCTCCCGAGGGACAGGATCTGATTACCTGTTTTAGGGTAAAAGCAGAAAGAGAAAGTGACATAAGTAGATGTCATTTAAAACAGTTATGGGGCACACTAACATTTTCACTTTACTGTTAATATATTCATTTCCCCCAGCATTGTTCCAAGAATGGCACCATCCATTGTAATGAAAACTATAAATATATAAGGCAGCTTACCTGGAAGTACAAATGACCCAAGGAAAAAATCAATCAAGGACACTGGAAAAGCTCTATATTTTTATCTGCATGGTGATTACACGGATGTATACATAGGTATGTAAAAATTTATTGAGTTGTCCTCTTAAGATTAGTTCACTTTATTTTATGTATTATCCTTTCAATTAAAAGTTTTTAAAGAGCAGGCTAAAACTAAGCCAAGAGAAAAAGATAACCTAACTAAGATGTAAATTACTCTAAATTCTGGATGAATTTGTAACCTTTTTACATGAACTTGATCTTGAGTTACTTCACATTTAGGAGCCTCATAGGTTTGGTATATGAATTAAGTGAAATAAGATACATAAAATTCTTGGTACAGTACACAATAAATATTACTTCCTTGGATCCTTCTTTAGAAGATCCCAAGAGATGATTGTTTTAAAACTGTACTTAAATTCTGTGCTGACCATCAAAAGAAAAAGAAATATTTGTATAATCACCTTAAAATTTTCTGTAGTAGTTAGTATTTACAATCAACACTTTCTGTTTCTGAAATGTGTGCTAGTAAGGCATGTTACTAGGTAATACCTGAGAATGTTTTAAAAAATATAAAGCAATGCATGTTTCTTAGCTCTTCTTTTTCCTGTTCAAGTGAGCACTGCTTCTAAAACTGAAACTAAATTCAATTTGCAAAATCTAAAGGTATATTGTAGTGGTTTATACTGTGTGAACTTGGCTAAACAAGAATTAAGTTTCCTAGAACCCTGTACGGTTGTGAGGCAGAATTGGCCAAAAGAGAAATTAGTGTGAGATTTAGATGGTGGAAGAGAAGTAGCTGCCGTGACTTTCCGAAGGTGGTTGTAGTTAGAAGCGGTGAGAAGATGATGTAGAAATGCTGCTGGGTTCTGGTTTGTCCTTATTCTGTCTTCTTCAGAAATGAGGTCTGTTGCCAGGGCTAGAGTGCAGTGGTGTCATCATAGCTCACTGCAACTTTGAACTCCTGGGCTCAAACCATCCTCCTACCTCACCCTCCCCAGTACCTAGTTGCTGGGACAACAGGTGCATGCTGCTATGCCTGGCTGATTTTTAATTTTTTTTGTAGAGAGGAGGTCTCCCTATGTTGCCCAGGCTGGTCTCAAACTCCTGGGCTCAAGTGATCCTCCCACCTCAGCCTCCCAACGTGCTGGGATTATAGGCGTGAGCCACTGCTCCCACCCTTCATTGTTCTTTTTCCCTGTGTGAAGCCTGACTGGTATGTATGTTATGGTAACCGCATATGTATTAGGGGTTAAAAAAGACAGATACTACTAGCAGAACATGAAATACAGGACCAGCCCAGGGTGAAAGTTTCCTTTTTTTGATCTGTTCCATGTATATGGGATATTTCCATATACATATTTTCCTCTATGCAGCCTTAGAAGCTCATGTGGCTTTGCTTATAATCTGTACATCTGAATGACAAAATCATTCTCTGGAAGGCTGAAGCCTATCCTGGAATTTACTCAATACCAAATTCTGTACCCTCTTTCATAATGTCATCCCAACTTGCCTCAGAGGAATAAAATAGTTCCATAAAAATTCAATTCAATATGACAGCATTTATTTAACAGCTACTATGTGTGAGGTGCTGGGATCAACAAATGAATAAAATAAAATCTCTACTCTGAGGCACTTCAGTCTGGCTGGGAAAATCTATCTGTCAATAAATAATTCCATACAATGTGACAAATGCTAACAGAGAGGTATGTCAAGATGTTATGGGAATAGAAGAGACTAACTCTGCTTGGGCAGAAGGGCAGTGGGGAAAGGCTTCACAGAACAGGTTATGTTTAAGGATCAATTGCAGTTTCCCATATGGACTTGGAGGGAGAGGAGTGTATTCTGGGTAGATTAAGTACAAAGGCATGGAAGTCTAAGAAAGCAGAGAACTGCAGGAGAGGACAGTTCTCAATCACCGTTTTTCTACCTTTGCCTCGAATTCAATGTAAACCAAGGTAGACATTTTCCTATCTTCCCTTTCCCAAGAAAGAATAGCACTGTGTTGATGTGATGGAAAGAGCTAGGGTAATTTTGGAAGGCAGAAGGTGGTTCACACATTTTGTGTTTGTTGGGGAAGCCAGGGTCAAAGGCAGCAAACTTTTAGGGCCTTTTTATGCTGATGTCCTTATGGGGAAAGTAAAGATCCTATATTCTGCAGCAAAAGATGAAATAGGCAGACCAAAAGCTGTCTGATGGAAACAAAATTTGTAAAGGAATAGATAATCTCTCATCAAGAAGCATTAATTATTTAGAATCACAACTTTTATCTCTATGTTAAAGTTGCAATGTGGCATACATGTCTTGCCTTTTGGACTATGTCAAATACAGCTATATTAATGATGTATTAATATTATGACCTTGCAAGAGTAGAATAATTACTGCTTTTGAAATAGGAAATTGTATCTCATTTTGTTTGTTCAAGTGCCTCAGCATTACATGGTCACTATAAAAATCTATGGAACAGAAGGCTTCAAGTCATCATTTATTCACTCCAATATAGCTTTATTCAATATGTATTATTCAACAATACTTACTGAAATTGGAGGCCTTGCCCTTAAAAAGCTTAAAATATAGGAGTTAGACTCACATTAGTATAAACAGAAGTGACAGGACTAAGGTTTCCTTTTGATGTTCCTCTCTCTATGTATGATAACCTTCCTTGTCTTCCCGGCTTCATCCCACACCTAGAAAGTCCCAACTTGTTCCTTCTCAGCATTTCTTTCCTAAGAGGCAGATCTATATTGCACTGATAGACAGCTAAGAAATGATGTCATCATCAGCTTGGCAGCCACTGAAGCCAGTAACAGCTGCCACTTTGGTACTATTGTAGCAGCATAAAAGAAAAGGATACTTTCCTTAATGAAATAAAATAGACTTTCAAAGGCTAGAACCAAAAGGAAAATCTCTAATTGTTTCCCATTGACCACATCTGCCAAAACTGGGGAAGGGGAAAAGACGTACTGTTACATCCTTAACACTAGACCTGAGTAAGATGGATGCTGAGGCTATGCTGGGGTTCAGGAGGAAAGAATGCACTAAACTGAATGATTAACCAGGCCAAAGGCAATAATGGGGGAATGGAGGTATGAGTACCATGTAACTACCATTCTTACTCTGGTACATGTGGTAGTAGTAGTATAAGAAATCTCATTAAATAACAAGGGAAAACAACTGGGAAATAAGCACAGAGGACTCCTGATCTATATAGTTTGGCTTATTAGAAATATTTTTCTCATTATTAGCTTATATGAACTGCTGAGAGCTTCCTCCTTCTTTACCTCTACTTTATGGAGAGGACTTTTTTGTTGTTATTAGCATTTAACACTCAGAAGTATCTTTCTAGACAACTGTCAAGATCTAGGTTTAGAGAGGGATCTATCTATCTATCAAATATCTACCTACCTACCTAAAGACGCAAAATCTCCTCTTCTGTTCATCTGAGATCAACTTTCAGGTCTATCAAATTTTTTTTTTTTTCCTCCTGAGACCCTTCCTTTTCCCGGAGTAACTGACTCCAGGGTGTCCTCCTCTTCTGAAGAGACTCCCTATACCAAGGAGGAACGGCAGCCTTCCTTTGCAGGCCTCAGCTGGAGAACTACATACCAAGGTAATATTCTAAGAAATGACAAACATATAGTGCATAAGGTAGTGATTAACAGTGTGGGATTTTGAGTCATACTGATGTGGTTTGAATCCTAGATCTTTCCTTACTACCTGGGTATCTGAGCAGATTATTAACCTCTGTAAGTCACAGTTTCCTCATCTTTAAAATGAGGATAGTAATACCTATAGCTCACAAGGCTCTTATGTAGGAGAAGGCATATGTAAAGTGCTTACCATAGTATAATAACTGGCACAGTGCTCAATAAATGTAAACTATGACAATACACAATACTGGGGGGCTCATTTTTTTCCTCTAGTCTAATAGCCCATAAGTTTACATTTGGAGGAGCTATAACCTGTAAAGGAGGAGGTGAAGCTGGGTGTGTGTGGTATAAAATAATGTCACATCCCTCCAATCACTTTCATTTACAGAATTCAAAGTAAGGTCAGTATTGTATCTTTTGACTGCTCCTCTCTGTTCCTTCAACAGAGAATTAGCTGAAGGGGGTTGCAGTTTTGCTGTTTGCCCCACATCCCACCAGTTCCATATACCTCAAAAGAATACTTAGAAAAGCAGTGTAAGAGATAAGCCATATTATAGTAGTATCTTCTACCAGGAGGAACTAACAGTATGAACAAGGTTATTTCTTGGCTTATAAAGCAATCCATTACATTGATTTACCTTTTCTTTTTCCCTTTTAATCTCTAAAAATTTAAAGTGAATTTGATATTTAGCTGACAGCTATATAGGTTGAATGTCTTCATTCATCATCAGAACAGTTATGGGACAAGAACTGCAAGCTTGCTAACATTCCTTTACTTCAGGTCACTCAACCCATTCTTGTCTCTCTGCAAACTAGCCAAACCCTGTGGACAAATGATTTGGGACAGAACTGAAGCTGTGAAGACTGGAGGGAATATATTTCCCTTTCAGATAGAAAAAGATTAAAACAATGCAGTGTTGATAAGGATGTGGGGATAAGGATGTGGGAAGTTAAACAAATGGTTGAGAATATAAAATTAGTAGAATCATTCTAGAAGGCAATTTGGTAGTATTTCTTAAAAATATAAAAAATGTTTAAGTTCATGTCTGGAAATATATTCCAATACTAAACTTTCACTACCATTTCTACCTTTCTACTAGCATCTACACTCACATAAGCTGTCTTCTGTAAAAGCTATCCTGCAACATGTCCAACTAG